AAAAAGTAATACTTCTTACCCTTTATAGCATATCTTAACTGGTAACTTTTTTAAACAAAATTAATGCTTTATACTAAATTATTAAAGTAAAATAAAGCAGCTTTCTAAGGATATGTTCTGTTACATACAGCAGGCCTCAAGTAGTTTCTGTGCATGTATAACAGATTTTTGAACCAAGAAAATAAGCATTTACTAAATTCTTGAGAAGGCAGAAGAAGCAGGTAATAGTATGATGCTTATAAACTAAAGCAAACCATAGTTCTTAGTCTACGACAGCATGTCCCTTTTGAATTCTTGTGGGTTTTTTCCTGCTATTCATAGATACTACAATGTGTTCAGATACAGATATTCCACAGACATTCCAAATGGTACCAGCAGTGATGCTAAAAATGCCCCCACCACCCAGCTGACTCTTGACCATTTAAAACTATACTCCCAGACTCAATTCCTTTTCTGAAAGGTTTACTTTTTTTAATATCTGCAATGTGTAAGTTTTCAAAAACCAGTTACCTGTAAGTTTTTATGAAAAAATTACTATAACTTCCTGTGATTGATTATATGCTAAGAACCGTTTAAATATTATCTTTACTGGTTGCCTTCTAGCTTCTGCAATACAGTAGGTGATTCTGGGCCATTCCATATACCCATTCTACCTGAATTTCCATTACTTGTGAATTTGGCACCAGCAAAGATTTTTAAGGATCAGTTTGAGAGATTAGAAGTTTGAAAAGATTCTCATGATCATTATTCACTGCTAAGTAGCCAGTTGCAATTCAGATTGCTGCCCATTTGATTTGACTGCTGAAGTAGCAGATGTGGTAAAGCCAGCACACTCTGGATAAGCTCAGCACAGTATGCTCAATTCCATGCTCACCTATATAATTCAGCTCCAGTAGGTGGTATAAAAGGAGTGGCACGTTTTTCTCCTTTGTCACATGGAGTTTCTTGTCACTCTTTAATATTAAGAGCAGTAGATTTTAAAGTCCATATAGTATCTGTGGATTTCAGTGTAACAAATTATTACAGAACTTTCATTTGTGTTCCACCACTTAATCTAGAGTCACAGTTAAGAAGTCGAGGTTTTCTTTTAGAATATAAGCTCTCTTTTTAAATCATGTGTTATTTAGTTACTTTATTACACATTCTAACCTGCTTTGTCTATACTAATTTCTAAAATGACTGTGCTCTTCCACTTAATGTTTTGTTTATTCATGTCATTACTCTTAAACTGAGTGAAACTAATATAAAAATAAACAAGAACAAAGATCTCTTTTAAAAGTGTTGATTGAGAGCGGAGAGAACAACTGGAGGTACTTTGTCCTTGTAGCATGGTTCTTTGTGGAGTTACAAATCTGTATGTTTGGTCCACAAAGCACATGCCACTATTAAGTTGTTTTTAAAGTGAGGGAGTTGCATCACCATGGTTCTGTGCTGGTTCTTCTGTGCTTCTGGGGTATCATGTTGCTGTAATGTAATAAACTGAGTCCTGGGCTCTGAAATTTTTTCTCCAGCCTGGCATCTTTACATAAAGCTGAATAGCTATGTCTGAAGTGTTAGGAACCTTGAGAATGTCTTATTCTTCAGGAAAAATTTTACAAAGACTTTTCTTATTCTTTGAAGGGAACCGTCTTGCATTTGTAACAAGTTTTTATTAAAAATATCAGCAATTTTAAGTTACATAGCATTCTGTTTGAAAAATAAGCATCATCTCTGCAGCAAAGTCTGTATTTTAACTTTGTGCAGATGTGTGCTAAAAGAACATGATGTGCTTATTTGTTGCATTTATGCTACTTTCTTACTTTAAGTAAGATGGATGAAATTACATATTAAATAAAAACAGCAGCTCAGACAGCAGTCCTTAGCAAACCAAAAAGCCTTCCAGAGACAGTAGAGAAAATACGACTATGACTTTAAGATTTTTAATAGAATCATCCTCTTAAAGGGATGTATATAATAATTTCTTTATGGGATTTATCAGTGTTAACTGTCTAATGTTTAAAATTGATCTGCCATTAAATGTGTGGTGAAATATCACTAAACCTATTGTTTTATATTTTAATGAAATAGAGCACTTTAATTTTGACATAACTGCAGTCATCAACAGACAGACAGATGTGTAAAGCACAAAACTCCAGGTACTAAGAATATTATGTGTCACCTTGGGCACATTATTAACCTCCATGAATCTCAATTTTCCTTTTCTGTATGATATAATAACATCTATCAAGCACTCACTTAATGCCTAACACGTATTTATCAGCACAGGTTAACTTAGATTGTATGTTCCAGGCTTTAAAGAGTACATTATATTTTTATATGTACTTTTGAGCCAGAAAACACTTTGTATAGGCTACTACTTTTCACTACTAAAATTCTAATGTAAAAACTTTGTATTAGAGATTACTTATCATACTCAATACTAGACTGAAAGCTCACAGTTTATAAAATAGATATTTCTTAGGATATTTAAAAGACATGTATTTATTGAGTGGCTTCTGAGGGTGAAACATTGTTTTCTATACTTTACAGTTAAATATATTTGAAATCCACTAAATCAGAGCTCAGTCTGCATGCTATATATAGTCCCCCTCTCCTTCTGTTTATTATTTTCCTTTTTCTGCAACCTGGTTATAACTTTAGAAAGTTTTTGAAATTAAAAAAGCATTTGACTTTGTTCAATATGGGTTGATCAATATGAACCATTAGCTAGGAGCACAAGTTGGTGCTTTTTTTTTTTATCGATTTCAGTTACCAGTGCCTTCAGGCTTATGTGTGTAAAAATGAAAATGATATATGAAACATGAAACATGCACCCAGGTTAAGCAGAGCAATTTTCTTCTTACATTTGCAACCACTATAAGCAGAATTTTCTTTATATGGAAGTGACTTCGGTAGCAGTTATTTACACACACACACACACACACACACACACACGATAAGACTCCAAGTAGCCTCCTGAGCCAGTATTTTTATTATTGAAAAAGAGGCTTGTGCAGTGCTTTGGGGAAGTTCCTTCTATTTAATTACTTTCATTAATTATAAAATGCTATTCAAGATTATAGATTCATAGTCTATAAATATACCTCTTCAAAAAAAATTTTTTTTTTCATTTTAACAGTTGATTGTAAGTCAGAATATTGGGGGTTTGAAAGATGTTCTGCTAAACATCCAGTTGCAAACCAATGAAGCCAAAAGGGTGAATACCAGGGAGGCCCAATACCAGGGCCTGCTCAGCAGGGCATGTGTTATTTAGAAAGCTGTGTAAGGAAGTTGACTGTGGGCAGAAGTTGTCTATGTGTCATCTCCCTGTCAGTCAGAGCTCCAGCAGCTGCTCCGTGTCACCAGGGCCCTTATGTGCTACTGCTCATCCATCAGCACCAACAGATAGCGACTGCCTCTCTGGTGGGCTGGGAAGTCACAGGCACAGACTCCAAGTTTTCATCTCACTAGTCACCAGTTAGGGTAGAAACTCATTTCCAAAGATGGAGGCCAAGCCGCTACTCCTTGGAATTTCATTCAACCACTAGCCAAAATATATTCTCAACAGAATTGGTTGAATATTGGGAAATCTATTTTTGGCCAAAAATATGGCTGTGGAAATGTAGGACACCCTAGTTAAATGAGAGATGAGAATGCTTTCTTCACCAAATACCATATTATCAGTACTGCATCATCACTGAAGACGCCTATTCTGGTGGACACAACAATACAAAAAAGTCTGGAAGTGGCAAGCATTCCTTTTGTGATGATGCAGCAACCTGCCAAATGGAATACATCCCAACTCTGATTATAGCCAAGCCTCCGGTATCCCCCCCACCCTTTTCTGTCTTCCAGAGACTTCTTTAGAGGAAAGGATTTGAGGGTATTAGTAACACTATCTGTCTGATTACTGTGTTGACAATTTAAAAGTGCCATTCATCATAGAAAATGGAACTTAATGATGTAGAAGAGTACCTAGTCAAGAAATGTCAAACAAGTAAGCTACAGTCAATATTCAGATGAAATTGAAGGGAAATGCATTTAGCCTTTTAATTTTTTTTCTTAATTTATTACTGAATTCCAAAACAATAATTGAGAGGCAGCTATGCAGTCCAGGAAAATGGTAGACATAGAAAAAGGAAATGAATAAAAGCAGCTATCTTTATTTTATAAACATTCCAACTACATAATGTATAATGTATATAAAGATAATGTTCAGATTGAGATTATATAATTAGGGTCTTACTTGCTTCCATTGCTTCATTTTGGAAGAAAGTTAGTTTTTCTCTTTTGATATCCCTTTCCATATTTTTTCTGTTAACTCTGAATACTTAATGTATTTGATATAATTTAGTCCATGTGAGGCTTGGCTATTGATGGAATTTGAGAATTACTAGGCTAACGATGTGTTGTACAGGCAACGCTATCATCATGTGTACACAAAAGTAAAAAAGCCAGGATATGACACATTTGTCAAACACATTTGTCAAAGCATGGCCATGCTTATTGGATTGTTTTTGCTAGATTTTGATATCATCACTTCTTTGCCTATTCACTAAATTCAAACAATTTTTCCTAACTGAAATTTTAGGGAAACATTAGGTATCCTTATTATCTTTATTTAGAAACTGTATGACACTAAACTCTAGTGAACATTTAACTGAAATATTTCTGATACAGATTCTGAGCAGGTATTTCATTGGAAACTTGCATAGGAAACTAAATCTAGGCCCTCCTTTTTATTTTTCCCCAAGACAGGTCATCTGTTACAGCATGGCACACATAATAGATTTCGAATGAAGGATGATTAATTGATATATGGATCTGAAATGAATAAATTTTAAGGTTACCTGTATAAAGAGATTAGAAAGTAAATAATATTAATAACTGTTAAGTTTTTTTAAATTCCCCTTGTAGGTTTTTATCATTCTTTGGAGGAACTTTGTGTGAGATTGGAAAGCCAGAAATGCAACAAAAAGTGAATTCATTCCTTGACAAAGAAGGAATAGAGAAAATTGCAGAGAGATTGCAAACAACAGTGCACACCTTACAAGTCATCATGGATGGTCTCAGTCAACCTGAAAGCTTTGACTTTCGAACAGGTAAACAAATGAACTTGAATATAGACCTTTCCTTTGCATAGCCTTCTAGACCTTCTGTGGCCCTCACAACAATCCATGCCAAAGACAACACAGGTATTATTCTCCTTCTATACAGGAGAAAACTAAAGATAGTGACCTTCTAGCCCGAGCTAGAAGCCAGCTCTCCAGACTCCTGTCCCCATATTTATTACAGGACACTAAACATCTCACATTTGCTGCTGTGTGCATGAAGGCACACGTTTTGCTTGATCCTTTTGTAAGCTGTTTTAATATTGTAGCCTCCAGAAGTTCAAGGTAAAACATTTAGTTCACAAACTAAAAAGTGAATCTTCTTTCCAAATTACAGCCTTCCAAGTTCCTGGATTCTGTGTCACTGAATACATTGAACAAATAAGATAACATCTCCATGTTGATTTTCCTTCTAATTAAATGTGCTCTCAACTTTCAGCACAGGTAGATGGTGAGGAAAGTATAACATTCATAGCTGTTGAGAGCAGTGAACTGGTGAGAAAGAATTAAGGTATCAAATGACTTACTTCCCAAGGAAATTTGAATAGGAAGCCCTGAGATTTGAATGAATCCATACACTTGTCTCATAGCCAATTGTTTTTTTTTTTTTTTTTTTTTAAAGATTTATTTATTTATTTACACAAGCACTGGGTACAGTCAGAAGCGCGGGAGGGTGAGAGAATTCACCAGAGCCAGAGCAGGGAGCACAGCAGGCAGAAGGACTGAAGTACACTGCTGAGGGGAGCAGCGGGCGGCAGGAGAGGTCTGCGCGCCAAGTGGGACCCTCCTCTGGTGGCCGGGGAGCAGCTGGGGAGCAGCCGGGGATCGAACCAGCGCCACAAAGGCTGCGGGCAGCTTCACAACCCAGCGCTCAACCGCTGCGCCACCGGGGAGGCCCTCATAGCCAATTGTTTAATGCTGTGTTTAGGGCTCAGCTATTTATTCTGGGCGAGGCCGTGTTAAGGTGGTTAGACATGCTGCTTTGAAAAGGTTTAATAAAGAATTTTAAAAATATCCAGTAAGATTATTGTACTGTTCCCTCAACTTTTCTATGTTTGGGGGAAAAAAGTTGGAGAAAAATAAAATATCCAATATGACCTGTGCGGAAAGATATGCATAGAAGCCTCCAGGTGATCCATACAAGGTGGATGTTTCAATTGACATATTCTCTCCTTTTGGTGTCCTTTTTTTTTTTTTTTTTAAATAATAAATTTTATTTTTATATTCCCCCATACAATTGCAAACGCCCCATTCTGACCCCAATCCTTCCCCTCCTGCCCCCCGCCCCCCAAAAAGTGTCTCTGGTTCATAGCTTTTTGTTGATTTTGATTTTCACTTTCTTATATTCATTTTCCTGGTCCCTTATTTAAGTTTTCTAGATTCCTGCTATGAGTGTGTCCTTTTATGTATTGTTTAGCAGGAACACTGAGGAGAACAATGGTTCTCAGATGGAGTGGGGTTTGAGGGAGTATGCCTAGAATCACTACCTTAGAGGGTTGGCAAATATTCTGTGACTGTGGGTGTCCTGGTCTGAATTTTCTTGTCAGTCTTTGATTTTCCGTCATGCTGTTCATTGCTCCATTACCCCTATTACACTGTTGACTCAGAGTGAAGATCAACACTCAAATTATATTATTTAATTAAATAACCAACAGTTAAGTAGAGGGCCACTTGATGATGCCCCTAGTTGAGCAGAAACAGCGGCACCTGGGCTCCGGACTGAGCTTACCCGTTAGTGCAGTCTTTGACAATGTGACAAGTGAAACTTCAAATCAATTTCTTTAAACACACTTTTGAATTGACCTTTGGTCTAATGTAAGGTACAATTTTTCAGAAGTCTGAGAACTTTTGTTTTTAAAACATCCCCAAGAAGAAAGGTAGACAGTCATACTTTTGAAGGGGCAAGTAACTTTTTGGATGTTTCTGCATTATAGCATTTATATTACATCTCTTTTCTCCATTTTCTCAAAAGTATTCCTTTCCTTGGTGCCTCAACCTTTTCTCCAAATCATCCTGCTTTTGTTTCTCAGTGACATAATGGATTCTATTTTATTAACACTCTAGCTGCTAGTTAGTTTTTGTCAGTGGGTTCATCAAAAGCAATCTGGTGACAGGGGACAGAATATACAGACTTGGCTATCAAAGTGTTAAAGTTTGCATGGTACATAAAGGATTTTCTGATTTCTCAGTGGCCCAGGCTGTCTTCAGGAACATGTTAAGTAGTTCCTGACTCTGATTTTCCATGCAAAATTAAACTAAGCAGCTGATCAGGAACCCTTGGGAAATCTATAGCAGCTGGACCTCTGCAAGAAAAAAAGGGGGGAAAAGAGTTTCCAAGCATAAAAACAATGCCGGTGGGGTTTTGAGACCATCCTACCTCTAACCCTGATGAACTACTTAGTTTTACTTTGCTTTGGCAAAGTCCTGCCCAGTGTAATATTATATTACTGTAGGTTTCTTGCTTTTGGAAGTCACTGCTTCAGCATCAGGTGATGTTATATAGATCAACTCCAATTTTAACATATTCTTTTTATGAGGAAAATGAGATTTGTGGTTTAAGGAGCATTTTTAAACAGAAAAAAGCTGAATTTTTAAGAAATCTTGATTTCAGAATGGTTGGGCTGGGGAGGGGCGCAAAGAGGTGACCAGTTGTTAATACAAATGTAAAGGATAGCTTTAACAAGTAATCAGGATAAAGCCAACAGCTGTGGAGGAAAAGGAAATGGAATGGGTGGAGGGGAAAATGAGGTCTTAGTAAAAAGAGATCCAAGCATAGAATGTGTTCTTTGTTATTAGAATCAACATTCAGTAATCCGAGGAAAGGGGCCAAGAAGAGCATGGATAAATGGAATACACAGATAATCCAAAAGCCCTGTTTCAATTGTTAATTCTAACTTTCTCCTAAAACTTCTGTTGTTGTTTTTGTTTTATTTTATATGGAGTCATAAAGATTCCTTGGCAAAATTTGTCCACCGTCTAGGGAGTAGTGTTAACGGACAGAGAAAAATACTCTGGGTGAACAAGAAAAGCCAGTTGTACAGAACTTGAGAACAGAAGTCTTTAGGTCTTCAGCTGTGTATCTCTAGCATCCAGCAGAGTGCTTGGCCAGGAAATAATAATAGGAATTAATAAATGTTTGATGAATTGAAGGAAGAGTATGAAGATTTGGTAGTAGCTGATCTGGGTTTCTAGGTCATAGATAACCAAGACTCCATAAATATTGATTGGATAAATACATTCAAAATTGATAGCAGTTGAATTCCTGAGTTCCAAATTTGTAGGGAGAAGGTGGAGAGGAGACCATTTCAATTTCATCCACATTTGACCAAAAATTGATGTACTTTCTACCATCTTTAAGCAATCTGAGAATTCAGGTACTATGGGAAAAAATCCAATCTACTGTCTAGTAGAGTTTTACCCTCTCAGTGTTAATGATTTAACCTTGAATATTCATTGAACAAAAAATATATTCATGCTAAGCTTGGTTCCACAATCACCTGCTCATAAATAGGAAAATAAGATACTACTATTCTCAATCTTTATGTATAAGCTAATGTTCTTGTGTTAACAAAACAGTTTGAGAAGAATGTGAATAAATTTTCTTGCATTGCTTCTACTGTGTGAATGCTATTTCTCTAAGTAAGATGTATTTTCTTTGAAGGCAGGTCTGTGTTTTCATCAACTTTTTTGTCCTGTTGCTGCTAATGCTTAATGCTAGTCTGGCACATAATTGATAATTAGTAAATACTTATTTACTACCATGGCTTATTATTTACACTGCCTTTCCAACCTCCCTACCCCCTTTTACCCTTTCTTGTAGATTTTGATAAACCTGATTTCAAGAGAAGCATAGTCTGCCTGGAAGACCTGCAGGTTGGAACAATTCTTACAGGCAAAGTCGAGAATGCCACTCTCTTTGGCATTTTTGTTGATATAGGAGTGGGAAAATCAGGTCTGATTCCCATACGAAATGTAACAGAAGCAAAACTTTCTAAAACAAAGAAGAGAAGGAGTCTCGGACTGGGCCCTGGAGAAAGAGTGGAAGTTCGTGTACTCAACATTGATATTCCCCGATCTAGGATTACTCTGGACCTCATTCGAGTGTTGTGAGTGGCTCACTGAAGGCCAAATGCTAATTTTATTTTCTCACTTATTTGAATTAGCAAGAATTAGTCAGATGTTTGTGAATTCTAGCTAGCAGATGAGGAGAAATTCACTTAATACAAGAAGTAATTTCTAAATACTTTTCTTATTTTTCCTTCTAAATAAATAGAAAACTAACAGTTGGGTTTCTTTTCCCCTTGAAGAAGAAAACTAATAGACATCTTTATGTGGCTTTATGTAGTAATGATTTTCTGACCAGAACTTTATTTTTTGTAATTCATCTTTTGACTATTTTTGCATTTTGTATAACAGATTGTTTCACTTCTGCAACATCCCTTGCTGGACTTGTATGGAAATATCTTCTTGATTTGAATTGTACAGTATTTCTTGACATAGTAGAACTGGCAGTAGTTAATCCTTCCTTTTTATGGATCTTTATAATCAGGGCTTTTGGATGTGTTCATGATCGTGACAGACCAAAACAGATCTTGATGTAATCATCAAGTAAATGGATTGAAACATTTCTCAGAGGATGTATGTATTGACCCTTCCAATAAAGTTTGTGACTAGTGATCTTGTTTTTTGCTATGTGATTCAGTGAATGACCTAGGAGTTGATCTTGATTAAAGATATGGCACTTATTCATGCAAATTTCATATGAACCAGGTATGCTTTTGGGGAAGAGAGAAGCTTCTGGAAACTTGAAGAATGATTTTGTTTAATGTAGCACAAAAGGGAATCATCTTTCTTAAGCAGTAAGATTAAGCTTCAAATGGGGATAGAAATGGTCTTTCTTAAGACTGAATATAGAACAGGTGTGAAAGAGAAAGAAAAACAAGCAGATAAAATAAGTGACTCTTAACTCTGTTTTTATTCAATGGAAATGGTATTAGCATAACCATTCAGGTCAAAATGAGTTAAATAAAACCCACATTGGTCTTGTCAATTCAGACTATTGCTGTTGTTGTTGTTGAATTGCCTAATGGATCATTTGCATAACTGAATGGACACCTGGATTTTTCCTTGTGAGATAGGTGGAAGATGGTTACTAAAGAGGATGACCAATCCTGCTTATTTGCTGTGACAGTCCTGATAAAAAGTTGTTGTCCTAGCATACTTTATAATAGTGCCTCTTTTTATTCCCAACGTGCCCCATTTTGGATCATATCATCACCTTAATAGTAACAGCCCATTACAAATCTGGTAAATTCCAAGTTCTGCCAATATGGTTTGCTATTTTCAAAATATGCAGCCTTTCAACCTGTGTGCATAGATCTTTTTAATGCAGTAGATTCCTTAAAAGTTGTATAAACTCAAGTTGTTTGCCTGATGATTTCATTTCTCAATATTTTTTTCTTTCTTTTTTTTTTTTAATTGGTCTTTACCTGACAATGGAATGTAGTGTTTTAACTTGATTTTCTTACTCCTCCAAGTGCTCTTCCTGGTTCATAACATGTATATCAGTGGTGAGAGCTATGCACCTGAAGAGACTTATTCTAGAGCCTGAGATGTATTTTCAAATAAATGTTTGTGAAAAGAGGGCTTCTCTCTGGGCACTTTGAATATAGGGGACCATAGTAGTTGACAGTATGAAGCAGCTCTGTTGACTTGTTAGCTAAGTTCTTGTGGACACAAGGGGGACTAATTATTGTACTAGACTATGTGATTTTGCCCTGTCCAGCCCAAACATAATGGACGCTTTTTAAGATCTAGGCTGAAAGAAGAGAGGTGATATCTCATCTTTGTAAGCCCAGAATATAGCATGGTGTTGTAACAGGGTGGTCCCCAGGAAAGGGGGAGGTTCCCTGCCCCACCCAAGGGAGGGTGGAGCTGAGCAGGAAGAAGAGAAGCTGCAGAAGAGACTGAGGAAGGAAGCAGGATGGAGCCAGGAGACCTGGAGGAGGCGCATGGAGCCTAGAGACACGTGAAGAAACTGTGCTTGTCTTTTGGTCGTGGACTGGGTGACACAGATGTGGGTGAGACCTGTGGGGAGGTGACAATGGCGGCTTTTATCTTGATGTTGATTTTTCTCTTTTCCTTCCGGGCTTGTCTGGTTGTTTCTGGCCCTTTTCTGTGGGTCCCCACTGGAAGATGCTTTAGACTTGTGGCAGGCTTTGGGCCTTGCTCTGGGCCAGTCCCATTTGGATGGAGTTTTACCCACGAGGGGATGGGTAACTTTGGGTTCTTGAAACTAGACTCTTTGCCTTACCTGTATTGTTTCCTAGTTTTATTAAAGTTCCTTCTCATTAAAGTCTCCTATGTTTTGTGTTGATGCGGCGGATGGCAGAACCCATTTAGAATAGGCAGGTTTGCGGGGTTTGGGCTGCCCCTCTCCCTGCCCTATAACAGTGTTAGGTGGCTGGTTTGTTTGATCTTGGTCCCTATTTAACCAGTAATCTGTATCATGACTTTGAGCTTATATCTCTGCTTCTCTGGGCCTCCTCATCCCAAGTACTAAATGGAGACAGTGATAAAAGCATTCATTTTCCCAAGTGTTTATTGGTGTCTCCTATGTACCAGACATTGTGCTATACACTGACCATACAGTTATGATAGAAAAATAGGACATTATTCCTGCCCTTACAGACCTCAGAGTCTATTGAGGAAGTAAGAATCAGTAATCAAAGAATCAGTTAAAAATATAAAATTACAAAATACTGCATGATGAGTATTATGGTCATATCATTTATAGATAAATTGATCTAGTAAGAAAAATCAGAAAATGTTTCAATGGAGTTTGGCCAAGATGTGAAAGATGACCAGAAATTAACTAGGACTGTTTCATTGATCTTAACAAGAATTGCATCTTGATAAATGGGGATGAGAACCTTATTGGAGTGGGTTTATAAAAGAGCAGGAGAAGTTAGATTGGTGACAGAGAATATAGCCAATATTGTGAGGGAGAAGAGAAAGGAAGTAGAGGAAGAGGAGAAATAGCTCCGTGGCTGGAAGGGGAAAATGTCAGGAGAATTTTGTATTTTCACAAGACAGAAGACATAATACATAAATGAAAATCATCCAGTAAAATAGGATAGTTTGGTACAAGAGACACAAGAATTACTAGAACGCTATCCTTGAGTAATGAGATCAGATGGAATCTGGTACACAAGTGATTTGTTTAAAGTAGGAATACAAAGAGTTCATGCATATCAATGAGATAAAGATTGAATATGTGAACACAGATATAGTTAGGATAATATAGTGATGGAGCTCATGAAAGGTCTCTTCTCCTCACTGAAACATGAAGGAATGTTATATGAGACTGAAGATTTTGAGGAAAAGGGAATTAGAGATTTGAGAAGAAAGGAAAAAGTAAAACATGATAAGAGAGTGAAAACCCTAGGGAAATAGAATGATTTTTAGGCAGTGTTGAATATTTTGCTTCAGATTGATGGTCATGAATTAAATGTAGTATTACTTGGTTTGGTTATATATTTTTCTTCATTCATATCAATTGTATGGGTCCAAATCTAAATTAGGTAGAGAGGTAGATCTTACCAGGTCTGGGGTTTGCCAAGTGAGTACAAGGGCAAGAATATTGAGAGCATGTGGACAAAGAAACTATTGACCATGGAATTTCAGTGAGAAGAAAAATGAAAGTAAAAGGGGATATGGGGTGCAGGAGGGCAGTAAAAAAGGATAAGATTAATGGATCTAGGTTCTGATGAAATTGAAGGAATGTTAGAGTGGAATGTCCACACATGAGGACATCATGTGTGGAAATGAGTGCTTATCAAAAGTGGGATGCTTAATTTTGATATTGTAGTTTTGGGTGCTGCAGTTTTGGGTAATCACAAAGAGTAGAGAATGATCAAAGGAATAATAGCAGAAGTAGGGGGACAGTGATAAAATATTTTGTGAGGAGGAAGTCAAAGAAATGAGAATTCAGGAAGGATTATGTGAACAATTTTTGGAGCTGTTGTAGTAATGCAGGCAATTCTTGGTGGCTTGGGCCAAAATGGTAATGATAGCAAAGGTGAAAAGAGGTGGAGTGTCAGGGAGAAGAGAAAGAGCCAAACAGGGTTTCCTGGTATGTAAGATGCGAGACAGAATCTAGTATGATTTTTGGCTAAGTGAACAGAGGATGAAATTTCTATCTGAGATGATGAAAGCTGTGGGATGACAGTGTTGGTGAAGGAGTAGGTTCTGGATGGGTTAAAAGTGAGATCCTTTGAGTGGAGAAGACAAGTAAGCAGTTGGTTATTGCAGCCTGTATTTTAGAAAAAATGCCTGGGCTGGAAATATAAATTTGATAATCACCAGGATATAGTTGTACTTCTTGACATGAAATTGAGTAATATCACCAATGGAATGAGCTCTCAATTCTTTGAAAATCTCCATAAGGACAGAAATTTTGTCTGTGGCAGGACCTGGCAGGTGCCTATTCAGAATCCACCCCTTCTCCCTTACTGAGAACATTCTGACTTGAGGGAAGCAATAATGTGAATAATGGACATGGAGGTAGCCACATGATATAATTCTGGCCAGTGAGTGCAGGCAAAAAATACGTAATGGGATTCTTGGAAAGTTAGAAAAGGAGGTAAATCAGACTCATCTATTATGTTTTTCTTACCCTTTACCTTTACCCTCCTGCCTGCTTAAAATTTTAGCACATAGAATGCTGGAAATGTTGGAATCCAAATCGTGACAAGCTCTCAATAGCCGCTGCATTCACTGAATGAGTAAATATCTATGAGTTCAGTAAAATAGCTGAATATAAAATAATTTCTTTTAAGAAAACCAGTTTTCTTTAATTATATTAGACAATATGATGGAATATAGGTTCCTGTTTCTCATAACATGATAAGATATTGAGAAATAATCTAGTGAGCAATGTATAAGTTCATTATGAAGAAAAATTGTAAAACTTTACAAATGAATGTCAAATAAGAGCAGAACACATTAAGGTAAACCATGTTTCAACATTGTAAGCCAATATATAAAAAATAGTTTTTAGGGATTGATCTTTCTACAATACCATATCTTCATGTATGTGTATATGTACATTTTTGGCAAATATTCTAGTCATTCAATTGATTTTGCTTTCATTTATGTTTCTTTGTATATTCAAACTTAAATTTAAAATAAATTTTATTTGGAAGAGTATGTGAAAAAATCAAGTCAGTACCTTAAAAGAATAGTTGAGTTGGATGGTATGGGGAAAATTTTCCTACAAGATATTAAAGCATCCTCAAAAGTTGCCATTATTTAAACAGTATGGTACTAGCACAGGAATAGACCAACAATCATAGAATAAACAGAATTCAAAGTCAGTGGGAATATAGTATATGTTAAAAGTGGCATTTTAGATTGGAGCAAAATCATATTGCCACACTGCCCACAAAAATAAATTCCAGATGGAGTGAACATAAACAAAATCATAGAAGAACTACAAGCAAATATAGAATGGCTTTGAGAGTGATTGCATGGCCATGGTTATGCCATGCAAAAAAAAAAAAAAAAAAAAAAGAGGACACATAGGCCTATAGACCTAAGAGTCGCACTCAGAAGACATTCTCTGGACTCACTCTGAGGCTCTCTGCCAGGTGTCAGGGGTGAAAGATGAATTAAATGACTTTGGAGGATGTCTGCAGTGTAGAGGAGGTGGAATTTAAGTTACAACAAAGGATCTTTTAAGTTAAATGCCGCGGACATTATGGAGCACAACATGACTGCTATCTAATTCTGAATATGGTGTCACCCCCTCTCATTGGAAGCCTCTTTGGAATGCTTGGTTTTGGATTTGCAGAGTGCTCGTATTGAGGTATCCACGTATCTAACCCTGACCTCAGAGTTAGCACTTGTGTTTAAATTAAAAATGGAAAGAAGGGACAGGATGGAAAAACCAAAAATATATTTAGTCAGTCTTTTCATTTTGGCTTCCTGCCTAAAATCAGTCATAATGAGTTGGATTTAAATAACAGATCATGGAGAACTCCTGAATGACTGGGCTCATTGCCAAAGCAGTCTGTTCCACAGGAAGAAAGATATAGATTTCTTCCCACTCATTTTATATGGTGAGGATGATTCTGTGCATGAGACTGGATTTATTATTTAGAGGGAGAGTGAAATAAGCACACTCCAGTCCTGTCAGCACTAAAAATTATGTTTTTAGAGATTAATTTAAAAGCCACCCCCAGAAAAGTTTTGCTATTCTCTTATTTCTTATCAGGAATCTAAATTAGGATTATAGTATCCCTCTTCCCAGTATTTTTAAGGAGAAAAGTAATCCTGAAGAAAGGAAATATATTATTAATCTAAATATTACAGGAAGCCTCTCAGATACTGAACAGTTTGTCACAACTATGTAGCTCTTCTAAAGTCACAGGTCTGAGATGTTTGATTAGCTCCATCCTAGCAAAAAAGGCTTAAAGCTACAAAGATGAATGAAGAGATGAGGGGGTGAGAGAGGGAGAGAGCAATGAAACAACTAAGCATTGTTGGACTACCAAGTTTTGAGAATCTTCTTTTATCCAAGCAATTAAACCAAATGTAAGACTCCAGATTTATTATAGTATTTTGCAAAAGCAATCAAGTAACAGATGGATGAAAGCCTGCTACTGAAAACTTCCCACTTCTGACAAACTTTCCACCTCCTATAGCCAGGCCTGTAATCGCTCGGGAAATTTCCCCAAGGGAGCAAGCTTTTGCTGTCTTTCTCTGGCCCCAATGACTGGCTCTTTGATCATTTGAATTTTGCCCACCTGCATCCCAGGTTTAATTGCCTTAGCAATGAAGAAGATGGTGGGACCAGTGAAAGTCAAACCTAATGTTTGTTCAAATTTTTGCTCCACGGGGTTAAAATGACTCCATGAAGCTAAAATTCAAAATTCCAACTTAGTCAAATTTGGTGTAATTTACTACTTTGATAACTAAAAGAATTGAATTTCCAGTAAGATGCACTGTCACTTTGCCTATAGTAGCCTCCACAAGGAACATCTGAAATTATTTTTGGTCATTTTATCATAACTTTATTTTTACAACTCGTTTCCTGATTGAAAAAGTCATACCCATATTATAGAAAAATGCAAATAATGAAATAGAAAAGTCCCCTGTGATTTGAGAAGTAGTGACTTTTTATAGTTTATATGTATCCCCAGTCTTTTTTCTA